TTGACATTGTTCATCTTTTCAGTCATACATGAGTTGACTCCTGACGTAAAATCTCAGATTTTCTGGTTTATACATGTGCATGGATGTGACATTAGGAGTAAATTATCTGGTTGAAAGGTAGCATTAAGCCTCCTGGGAAAAGAATAGCTTTGAAAATTTTGTGTCAGCTCCAAAAGTAAGAGGTTTTTGGATATTACTCTTATATTTCTAATCTTGTAGAACTCTAATCTTATGCTTTTAGTAACTTGTATTCTTTTGTCAGAATATTTAAAAAAAACTATTCAAAAAGTTTAAGACTAATTCCAGAGCTGCAACAAGCTGCTTTGACAAGTTACAGAAATCACAAGATATGGTAGGAAACAACGTAATCTACACAACAAATTATTCAACTTGCTGGTTAATTTGGACTCTCCTTGAAGATTTTTCAAGGAATCAGCACACCTGCAGATGCTAAAAGTACTGATACAGGACTGCATGAAACTGCTGGAGTACTTTCAGGGGCTTATTTATGTTTTTACCATCTTGAAACATGGTACGATTGTTGATGTTATATTGTGTAAGTAGGCTTTTAGCATGCCTATTGGAGCTTGCAGTCCTATCTACTTTGGTCTTCCTGTGTTGCCTTGAAAATGCTAGATCTTGATAGGATGTAAATTGGTTTAGGATCCAAGAGGCACCTGCTGTCTTGCCTGTATATTAACTGTCATGCTCTGTTTTTATGAATACTTACCCAATCTGCTTTTTGCTTTAAATGAATCTTGTTACATGACAATTGTTGATGAAATAATTGCCCAGTGTAAGCTCTGTTACGGATCATTCCTCTCAAGAGCTCGATAGAATTTTTCCCATCTTAGTGTTAGTGTACAATTTGGTAGCAGCTGTTCAAGAGCCTTGCAGGAACTTTTATTAGATGGGCAGAAGGGTGTATCCCTTTTAGCTGAATGACATAACAGATGATCTTCTCTGCCTCTGATTCTCCTACCTCACCTCTTCTGTTTCTTTCCATGTCAGCAACAATCCAGCCATGCAGCCAGAAGACAGCTGCAAGTAGGAAGGAAATGACCTTTAGCAAGATAGTGTAGTGTAATTGGAACTCCTCGTTTTGAAGCTGCAAAATTAGTATCCATTGGGTAACATATGCAAACCTTTTTTTTGCTTTCTTCGGTTACAAAATCAATAACAAAGCTATTTTTGGTGCTATTTGTCCATTTGTTAAAAGGTCAAATTTTTTCTTTTATTATATCATATTACACCAGAAGCAAATCATGAGGCAAATCTAAGATTAGCTGATAAAATGGCAATTTATCATTCCTATTGAAACGTGTTCCAAGATTTAGTATGAATGCTTGGTAACATACTTTAAGGCGACTTAGTCAATTCATGATTGACCTATGTGAGAGCACGAAATGCTCTAAAAGGTCCTTATTTCAGCACTTTGCAATCTTCAAGGCAACTGCTAAAAGCAAGTTTGAGTGCCCTGTTTTGACAGATAATCCCAAGGCACTTGATTAAAACAAGTATTGCTTTTATAAGTTTCATCTAGCATACGAGTTTCATCTGCTTCAGTTTCCTATAAAACCTTGACATCTACAATTGTCTCTGATTCTCCAGCTGCATTAAATCGTAAAACAGTTGTGTAAGAAGTGAACCCATGATTCAGGTATCCACCTTCGATCACTTGGAACCCAATCTGTGCAGGGACTCGTTGAATACCGCAACCTTCTCCTCCTGGAACCCAAGACTTGATTTTTCTACAAGGCATTGATTGGAAATTGCAGCATCAAGATTGTCAACTGGTAGGCTAATAACAGAAAAGTACCGCCACAACAAACAAAAACAATATAGGGAGAAGATACCTGAGAAAATGTAGAACTGAAATTGGGACTTGTCGAGCCTAGGTTGATGAGATAAACAGTACCAAGGCCACCATCTCCTTCAGAACTTCAACACTGCGCACTATGTTGGAAGCCATTTTTGGAAGGCAAAGCTCATTTCTTTTGCAAAAGCCTCCATGGTGCTTCAATTCCGACCCCAGCCTTCACTTGGCTCTTTTCTTCCTTCATCACTGGCTCGCTGCTATTGTTTAGTTGAGTACAGTTAAACTAGAACATTAGAATACCTATAAGTACAAATTTGTAATAGCTTAAAGGCACCAAATGACCCCTGTGGCATCTTTAGTTGTATGGACAGTTATTGAACCAAGATGCCTAGGCCCTTCTATGCCGTTACCATATTTTTCTAATGCAACAAACAAATAGTGAGACAAAACAAAGATTGGCTGCATTCATGACCTCTTAATTTCTACACTTCCATAAAAATCTATGAACTTTTCATACAAGTCCAGTTGCATAATCTATGGAATTAGGTTTTCTCTATCCTTTTTTTTCTCTCCTGTCCTTTCTTTCCTTTCCTTCAATCCAAACAGTGCCCCGTTTCTCAATTTATAGTTAACATGTTTAAAAAAAATCAAATCACTCGAGGCTACTCAAGCTAGCTCAATAATAGATAGTTTGAGTTTGGTTTCCTTTGAAAAAAAAAATCAAACTCAAATACAATTTCAAATTATTAAAACAAACAAGTAAGTTGAGTGTTTTTGCTTGATTTAACTCATTTACATTCTTAATTCTTGGCTATGTGCACTAAATATTACACTCTATGTACAGTGTACCCTGAGATTCACTAAATAAATTAATAAATGTAATCCAAATGTATATTTTATACCTAAAGAATTATATATTATGATTATTTGAAACAACATCACGTTAGGTGTGTTGTGATTGAAAAAATTTGAAATAAAATAATTTGGTTGACAAATTTCAACCACTTTTTTATCTTACAAACATCACATCATAAAAAGTGTTACAGTAATTATCTCAAATAAATCATCCAAAATAAACTTTTATTCAAATAAAGCTAGTACTACAGTGTTATAATAGTAATTTTATTTTTCACACGATGGCACATCCAATCACTTCATTATCACTGAATAGTATTCTATTCCCTTCCCCAAACGAGCCTTAAACTCCTCTTTGATAGGGCCCTTGAAACCCCCCCCCCTCTTTCTTGGCTAGGAAAATCAAAAAGAAACGTTGAGGTTTAGAAAGGGTAGGCACGGTCCGTCGGGTCCGAGTACCCGTCTCTAACATGATTTGACTGACCCGACCCTAATATATCAGATCAGTCATTTTGTGATCCTAACTCGCTCCTAATGTTTTCGGGTACCCGCTATTCGGATATCCGAAAAAAAGGGCGGGTATTTTTCAATAAAAAAATTATTTTTCATTTAATATCAACATGTTTTTCAATAAAAAAAACATGAATTTTCAATTAATATTGGTAAGATATTGTAATTAAATCCATATATCACCATTCTCATCCAACAATCAAATCGATCTCATAAATTTAGTACATATTAGAATTATAATATCTAATGGACAAAACGAAGTTTCATAATAATTTTAGTACATCACCATTTTCACACATTTTATCCTTCTATAACACAACAAACACAAGGATAATAAGTATTTGACAACTTCCCCAACTTCCTTAAGGATGTTACGGTACAAGATTGCATCCCAAAAAGTCGATTGTGAAATCAAATTCGGAAAAGAATTGAATAGAACTAATTATTTTTGGAAAAAATATAACAAAATATAACCTTAAAAAATCTTCCCCAACTTCTTTACATCTTTGGAATAGACCTTATGGTATTAAAGGTGATGAAAAAGAAAAATAATTTTTACACTAAATAAAAGAGACCAATTAAGAGACATAATTGCAATAAAATAAATCAAATAAATAAATAAGTGAAAGACACAAATGTTTTAATTATATAGCTAACAGAAAATTGAAACTCCAAATACAAATCTTTGATTGAATTGATGCAAAATTTGCAGAAAAGATCAATGGAAGTAGAATAAAAATAAAAAGGATGAAATGGATATAACAGAGTTTCACAATTTTTTTTCATTTTGTTCATTTGGTTCATGTTTCTCCGAGAATATTCGCTTTTTTCAAATAAGATGAGGAGATGTGGATCATATAGGATTAGAATATGAGACTGTGAGCCACTTCACTTGTACTTAAAATTAAAAATTACAAAGTTGTAAAATGATCTCTAATTTTTTAATATTTATAAAATATACCTTGTAGGTCGGGTATCCACATATTTTTATTTTTCTAATCCGTATCCGTGCTCAATTTTTGCGGGTATCCGACCCTTATCCGCCCCGCTAAGAAAATCGAATAGGATATCTTATTTTTCGAATCGAATCTCGGGTTCATCCAATTTTCAAATCAACCGGTTTTTTTGCCCTACCCTAGCGTTTAGAGCAGCAAGGTTCTGGGAGCAAAAACATTTCTTAACTTGAAGGAGGAGATTAAACAGAGGGATTTCATCAATGGTCTAACTGCAAAATACCCACCTCAAAAGCAGATTCTTGGTCGACATTGATGGTTTTTGTTCTTCAGAAAACCAGGTTCTTTGTTGACGTTTCTTCTCATGCCTTTTCTATTTCGGAATGCTTTGTTAGTATCTTTTTACCAGTCTATTATCCAATTATACATTCAATGCTTCGATGCCCATAGCTATCTGCAAAAGAGCAGAAATCCCTTCTACTTTTAAGCCTCAAGATTGCACAATCTCTCCTCAGCTGCTGTGTGTATATTGAGAAATTTGGAAAGAAAAAAGAGAACCAGATGGCTGATCCTCCAGAAAAGAGGGTGCAAAGAACCCCAGATGGTGATAGTATTGATAGGTTGAGTGCACTTTCGGACTGTGTTCTGCTCCACATCCTGTCACTTTTGAAGACAAAAGAAGCTGCAGCCACCTCAATTCTGTCCACGAGATGGAGAAATCTTTTTGTTTCGCTACCTGATATTGATTTATGTTTCTGTGTGGATGATGATGCTTCTGACCGTGATAGACTGTTTTATCAGTTTACACATTTCTCTAATAGAGTGATTGAACAACGAAATACGGCTCCAAATCAGAAAGATTCGACTCCGCGTGCAACATTTTGTTGAAAGGTACCGTTTGGGTTTCGAGTCATTGTTGATACCTGCAGCTGCCGCAATTTCTACTTACAATGTCGAACAACTTCATATTTCGGTTGCAATGGATACAGCAACTGAGAAATTTTCTATACGTTTTCCACCTGGAATTTTTTCATCTGAAACTATAGTTTCTTTATCACTAAGCCTTGACGTGGGTTGGAATGTTCCTGATTTTGTTTGGTTGCCAAATCTCAAGTATCTTTTCTTGAGGCGATTCACGTTGGTAGATGAAGATTCTATTCAGAGGTTTCTTCAAGGTTGCCCTTTGCTTGAACACCTGATATTAACAGTGCAACCTTTCAGCTATGAGAGTGAGAGTCAAGAAAGCATTGAAGTTGAAGTTCTTCATATCTCGAGTCCCTTGTTGAAGGGCCTGGTGCTCTGTTGGAATGAAAAAGTTGAATTAGAGTTCACTATTGTTGTGAAGTCGGAAAATCTTGAGTCTTTGGTATGCTTCCTCCAGGGGCAGCATAAAGTTACCATAGATGCCCCAAATCTGAAGTCCTTGAACGTTGACGGTCATGTACTTGAAGTACACATAGTTCAGAGCCTGGTATCTATTGATAAGGCAGTAGTACGAGCTGAATTTCTGCATAATGTGACAAACCTAGGTGACTTATTTTTACGTGTTCAGCATGCTTTTGAATTTATTAGTGGGTTGCAAAATGTGAAATCACTGAATTTGTCAGAGAACATTTTAAAGGTATGTTTTCTCTTTTCTGTCTTCTTTAATTTGGGTTGACTTCTGAGCTTTTCCTTCAATTTTTAATAGAAGAACTGGAACTTTGTTCTTAATTAATTCTTCTTGTTGTATGGATGAAGGCTCTCTATTTTTCTCAACCAGCATTGCCAACTTTCAGAAACTTGATCAAGCTGGAGCTTGAACTGTTTATTGCCCTTCTTTTCCTCGTAGCTGGATCTTACAGGTGTTATCAAACTTATTTGAAAGTTCCCCTAACCTTGAAGTGCTTATCTTTAGTGAGGTAAGTTGTGTTGGGTATTTTAGTGTACGAGTTAATTGCTTTGTATTTCGCTGTCCCTTATATACTTTATATGAACAGGTATTCAAGAACTACTTTGGCGAAGATGAGCAATTTGGTTCTGTTTTTCCGCAGGCTTTTCCACTAACTTTCATTGAGCATCTTAAGGTAATAGACATGAGTAATTTTAAAGGGAAGAACATGAATTCAAGCTGGTGGAATATTTTTTGAAGAATGGAAAATCTCTGAAGAAGATCGCTCTTGAAAGAGAGGGTTGGAAGTCCGTACCAGAATATTGCAACAGGATCCTCTCATTCAAGAAGTGTTCAGAGGATTGTCAGATTGTATTCAGAAAGAAATGGGATTATATAACGTGCCCGCAATTACGACAGTTGATGAATCTATCTCCTTAACAGTATTCTTCGCGGCAAACTGATAAGCCTATAATTCAGTTGCAGACTTAAGAAATTTTGGCTTCACGGATAGAACATCTTGGCGCCAAATTTTTTGTGTAATAGGATTCTGTTCTAAGATTTAGTATTAATGCACCAGGGAATTGAATTACAGCTAGCTAGATATCCAGCCTTTATGAAAACCTTCAGTTTAGAAGTTTTCTGAATTAGCCAATCACTATTTTTCTTTTTTAATTTGATTTTGATGAGCCCTGGCTGTACAAATGTCAGCAAGTTTTCAAGAGAATGCTAGTTTCTCTTTCAGGTTTTTCTCAGTGAAGATCTGATTGATTGCTCAACAATTGCTTGAATAGATCTGAGTATGGTTAAAAGTGTGATTGGGACCTTACATGACTGCAATTGCTGGTTTTCACCTGATTAATTGTTCAACAATTGCTTGAATAGATCTGAAGTGGTTAAACATGTGATTGGGATCTTATATGACTGCAATTGCTTGTGCTCTTTGGCTGAAGTGCTTATTACATTGTTAATTCCTTAACTAGAAGTTGGACAAATAGTGGTATGGCAATATGGTGAAAGATATTATATAGCACTTGCAAAATGAACAATGGTTAGGACATATATGTCTATTTACCTACACCTCGAGATTTTCAGTCTGCAAGCGTGCATTTCTTCCTTTTACTTTGGTTTCATTAATGTGAAGCTTCTCATTCAAGTATTGAACTTTACACTTGTAACTCTATTGTTTTAGTTCTTCTTTTAATCTGTATGAAGGTACTCCATTACTCTTAAGTTACTAACTTTCAAAATTTATTGACCACTCCGTTCCTTGAAACTTCTTGTTATTATCTTTTTATACATGCCTTTTTTGTGGAAGATGTTCCCAAGCTCACTTCATGCAACTTTTAAGCTTGAAGTGCATATCTTTCATCCACTGCCTTAAGATTGTCTGTTTGGATGTAGAATTATTTTCAGCATCTTTTCCGCTTCCTAATTGTATTAATGGGGTAGGTGTATAGGAACAACTTCAGAGGGATCAAGGAGTTTGAGTTTGTACTTCCAAAGGCTATTTCAATAAGCTTCTCTAAACATCATAGGACAGTAGATATCACAGGATAGGAGTTCAAGCTGGTTGATTTTGTTGAAAAGTTTGAAACTTTTTGACCCAAGATGACTTTTGGTGAAGCTGTAGCTGTAGACTTTGTAAGTCTCCATCAGAGATGTTACTGCAGGATGTCGTCGTTAATGCAATGGGATTTTTCTTTCATTTTCTTTTAGGGTGAGGGTTGGGGGGGGTTGGTTCTTGTTCTATTGCAACTGGTATGGCTTGGCTGGTCAAATGGCTTACTTGTTAACATTTCTATGAGGTTTATGGCTCTTGACATTCTACATTATGACCCATTTTATATTGGGCTTTCTTTGTGAAGACCGGATTAGTCGTCAGTTGTACATGTATGAAGTTGTACCTGAATCTGTATGTGTTGTGCTATTATTGATTTTGTTAATGGGTTATCAAGTGGTGCATCTGTTAAAAGCAGAAATTAGGATATTATTTATCAAATTTTGAAATGCGTGTGTATGTGAGGTAGCATTTGTAGTTAGGACATGGTGAAAGAATAATGTAAAGAAAGCACCACTGACATGTTGCAATGTTCAAAATCCTATCAGCTTTCTCAGTCTAAGAGTGGCTCTACATATCAGGTTTTTAGCACTATCCTACAAATTTTAACAGCAGTTTCTATATCTTAATGTTCTTTACAGCGGTATCTCAGTTGATAGCAGACATAGATTCGCAGATTTTCTGGTTCATAGATGTGCAGTGGATGTGATGTAAAACGTTTAAATGATCATATGTTGAAAGATAGTACTAATGCTCCAGGGAAAAGAATAGCTTCTTCAACCGTGTCAGTTTGGAAAGGATGTTTTTACATTTTACTTTTATGTTTCTACTGTTAGTCAATTGGTTTGCTAGTATAAAGTTTTTGTTTTCAAGTAATCTGTAGTCTTTTGTCAGAATGTGCAAAAGAAATCTAAAAATGTTTACACTAATTCCGGAACTACAACATGCTGCTTTGACAAGATACAGGAATAGCAAGATATTGTTGGAAACAAGGTAACCCAGTAAACAGATAAGCCAACTTGCTACTTAATTTGGACTCTTCTTGGAGATTTATCCAGGAAAAAGTGCACCAGCAGATGCTAAAGGAACAAGTTCAGGACTTCATTAAACTGCTGAGCACCTTCAGGTGGATCATATATGTTTTTACTTTCTCGAACATGGTGGTGTGGTTGCCGATTTTAAATTCTGTAATTGGCTTTTAGCAAGCAATTTGTAGCTGGTAGTCATATCTACTCTGATCCTCCATGTATTGCCCTGGTAAATTTGCTGTTTTACAACTTTTTCTTTCATGAACTTTGACCTATAGCCTAAAGGGCCCTTTAATTGGAAGGATTTTGGGGAAAAAGCAGAGATTTAAAAAAAAAAGTGTCAAATTGGCTGTTGGAAAATTTCCACATGTTAAGGTTTTCAGAGTTTTAGAAAATTGGAGATAAGATTTTTGTGCTTTTAGAATGTTATGTTTTTTATTGATCAAATTCTTTTATTTTTTTTTCTTTCATTTCTTTGGTATCTAGTGGTAGTTAGTAACACCATTAGTTTCTAGTTCGTTTAGTGAACGAGTTTTTAGATGAGTCGTTGTCTATTACATTGTTGTGCTTCTTTGCCCATGTCTATGGTTTACTCTGTTGTCGAGTACTCCGTTCTTTAGACACGAATTTTAGCATAGGAGCTGTAAAAAATTCTATATTGTTGAAATTCAGGATCCTTTGGATTAAGTTCTTAAGGTTCAAAATTGTACAATCTTTTACACTGAAAATCAGTATCTTTCGGGGATCCGAATATCATGTTCAAATTTTTTTTTGTGAGATTTGATACTAAATCTTGTGTAGCAATAGCAGTAAAACTGAAAATCCAGCATTCCACTGTTCTGATATATCAAATCCCTTCTTTTCAGAAATCCTGTGAACTCCTCGAGTCTTTATTTGCGGTCAAAAGTATTTTTGTTCTTTTTATGTCCCTTAGGGAACAGAGGTTGGAGTATTCTTTTTCACTTTAACTTTGTACAGTAGCCTCAGAATTTGAGAGTTACTTTGAAGACATCCTGATTTTGTGTTACTTGATTAGTTTTGCTTGGAGAGGCCTTCTAGTGTTTGAATGACTCTTTGAGTACCAGATCATCACTAGGTTATTATGATTGCAGCAATTTAGTCTGTTCTTTGAGTATTAGTTTTTGTTATTTGGGGTGTATAGATGGAAGTTACCATGGATGTTGTCAATGGCTGATTCCTTTGGCAGTCACGAAGTAACTACATCACCTGTGCTGAATTTATTTTATTTTATTTTATGAATTAGTTACTTTTTGCAGGGTCAGTATTTAAGTTTAACGAAGTTAAAGTGCCTCAAGTTCCTAGTCTGTGCAATGAAGACCAGGTTTAGGAAGAGATGTGGAACTCAGGAAGTAAAAGTTGATAAGGGAACAGTGAAAGCATCAGGGAGCAATATGGATGTCGTTGCTTTGAAGGAAGATGTCAACAAGCAAGATGAGAGCATTGTCATCGAGGGAAAGGCTACTTCAGAGCCAAGTGAGCAGGAAGTGCATTACAAGGTCCAGGGAAATGAAGAAGCTGAAATGCGAAATGTTGCCGGAGAGGAGCAGAATCTTAATGTTACAAAGGAGCTGAAAAAGAGAAAGCGCAGTGTAGATGTCGAATTTGCTATCGTATCTCCTACTGACAAATGTTCATCCAGACTTTGCCCAAGGAAGGAGGTACCTTCATTCCAGATGGTGGATTTGAATGAGAACAACATTGAAAGGATTGTGGGGATGAGAATAAAGGTTTACTGGCCAGAATCGCAAAAATGGTTTGCAGTAAGAATTAAATCCTTCAATAGGGAGAAGATGCTTCATACTGTAAACTATGATGATGGTGACGTAGAAGAGTTGCAGTTGAAGAAAGATAAATTTGAACTTGAGGTCAAGCCTAAAGATGGTTTTCACATAAAGCAGAACTTCACTCTAGAAAAAGCAAGAAGGATGTCAGTGGTCATGTGGTTGGGAAAACAAGTATTAGCCAAGAAAGGATCTCGGTGGAGATGTGGTTGCCAATGTGAGTTTTAGCCAGGAGCATGCTAAGGTCAAGGATGAAGCAGAGATAGAAGGAGAAAGGAAGAAGGATCTCAGTGGTGATGTGGTTGCTAACAGGATTTATAACCAAAAGTATGATAAGGTGAAAAATAATAGCGAGATAGGAGAAAGGAAGAAGGATCTCGGTGGCGATGTGGTTTCCAACACAAGTTTTAGCCAGGAGTATGATAAGGTCAAGCATAATTCAGAGATAGGAGGACAGGGTCCTAAAACTGTAGTATCAAAGGAAGATATGGAATCTAATCCAGGGGAACAACAGCCAGCTGATAACAACAGTGAGAGAGATGAGAATCAGGTAGGTTCTGCAAGGCAAAATGCCAGGTTCGCTGATGTAGATGGAAGCAGAAAGCATTGAGTTGTCAGGAACAGACGTAAGTGACCACTAAATTATTGCTGAAACTAACTGAAAGAGGTTGAACACCATTTCTAGCAAGTAAGCCTGCTTCTGAAAATTATGTCTTTACTCTTAAAGGATGCCCTTGCATGGTGGTTCTCATCCTGCTCTTTTCATTGCTTTATATTCATGCATTCAGTAAGTAATTTTACATGTAACAATTATGCATATAACACTTATCCATTGATATCTAAAAATAGCTGGGGACTGTTTGGGTTTTTGTCTCTGTCCTGGACCAATGATGCTCAATCAATACTGATGAACAATTTTTAATTGTCATATAAATGTGTCTGTGTTTTGACAGACTTTTTGTTTTGCATTTCCTATGGTATGAAAGAGAAATGTCCATCCTTTCTCTAATAAAAGATAGGAATTGAATCGTGCTATGCTTGAGATGGGTAAAAACTGTAAATGAGGAAACTTACTGGGAGAGTGAAAGCTGAAACATTAGGTGACTACCATCCTTATGAATCATTTTTGTCATCCTAAGATGTGTCCTTGTCCTAGCAGACTTGAGTTTTTGACAGATTGGCTGAAAATCAGCAGGAATTAGAGAACAATTACCATGGTTGCCTCTTCCTACTATTTCAGATGAAAGAAAGACTAATTAATTATATTATAATTATTCCTGCCATCAGAATAGATGTAATCACCTGTGATTTTGTCATCACGGAATCCTCGGCCCCATTTTGTCCAAAGAGATAGGCTGTAGCAGTTGTGCTTTGTACTGCCTTCAACTGAATCTAGAAAATGGAGTTTTTCCCTTGGTTGGACCCTGATTGCTCAGACCGCTATTGGATCCTTCATCCTTAGAAGTGTCTATAGCCAACTGTCTGTTTCACCCATTACCATAGCTAGGTTGATCAGCAAGACAAAATGGTACGTTCATGTGCACCAACAAGAGATTTGATTAGTTCGATTTGTATGGTTCTGTAATTTTAAGTGAAAATTTCACATGGAAATAGTATCTAAAGAATGCTGAAGGGCCAGAGCAAAGTGAAAGAATGGGGCAAGGTTTTGTCAACAAATAAGAGGAGTAAACTGACAAGCTTAATATAGAAATTAAGAAAAGAAATGGAGATGCAAAACACCGTCGGATTGTTGATGCTTCTTTCTGGATCCTTTTGCTGTCATGAGTTATTGACAGCTGTAAGAGCCGGAGTCATCGACCAACTAATGCTGCGACTTCCAAAAATAGAATTTGCATTGTGTTTCCAATCTATGCAGAAAAGGAATCAAGGATATTAATGTAACCAATTCTGGAAAATGCTACAGTAATTCAGGAAGTTATAATAAACACTTGTCATACACGTGTAGAGATACAATTTGTAAAGCCAAAAGTGAAAAAAGAATAAAGTTGGTCAAGGCTAGCACATGCAACATATTACAATGAAGCATGTTTCGTACTCAATGAAATTGTTGCCTATTTGTGGAACTGTCCACTCAATAACACAGTACAACTTGTCTATCTGGATCAAAGGTTGTGTGGGAAATAAGAATGAGCCTTTATAAAATCTGTTCTCAACATGTCTGTTTCTTCATGAAGAACTTCCACGATACAAATTTGGTAACTGCCAAGAGAATTACATTTGTCTACGGATAGCAAGCTTGTAGATTTCATGTAAAATATCTAGTTGACTGATCAAAATGGAATTTGGGCTACCAAGATCAAGTAGTTTTGACAAAGAAAACTGGTGAAATAAAAGCTGCATCATGACCCATTTATCGAATGAAATGCATGAGCTATATTGGCTTGCCTGATTCCTGGTCAGAAGTGAACATGTAATCTGAACGATGTGTTCACTTCCTATTTGTTTTTACCTGTGCCGTCCCCTCTCCCTGTTTTTTTCCTCCCCCTTCTTAATTATTCCAATTTTTTTGTCTTGGTTGAGACTGAGGAATAAGACTAGTATTTGCATTTTCAAGTTCCCTATTCTTAATGGACACCAAAACTGTTCTGACTTGTGATTCTTAACATAGTTTATTCTTTACTCTTTCATGCGCGTTTTATCATGTTACTATAGAAATCAAATGCATTTGAAACAAGATTCTGATTAGGTTAGCAGCCCTTCACAATTTTTCTCATTCTCTATTGGCTGGAAGTTTCATAAATGTTTTCAACAATGTGTATTCTTATAGCAGCATTAAATAGAATTTATTTGGAAATCTGATAGAGTCCACGAACAACTACTTAGCTGAAAGAAAGTTTTCCATTTGTGATGAGCCTAGGGAACTGCAAGTTTGGAACTTAGGTTGCAGGACCTAATGTACTCCACAATGGCTTCAAATCTATCAGGAAATCTTTTAAGTATCTTGTGAGGAAAGAAAAGAAACGGATTGTCATGGTAAATTTTACTGGTCCACTGATATAAAGTCATCTATGGTGTGATAAATAATCAAGATTACTTTTGACTTCTTCCCTGATTTTATGGGGATTCCACTGCATTCTTTTTAATTCTCTGTTTCCCTGATTTTATGGTGATTCCACTGCTTTTTTTAATTTTCTGTTTGCAGAAGAATAGCTCACATAACATGGAGAAGCACCTCTAAAAGACTTTTTACTTCTGATCCCTACAGAATGCCATCCACCAGAATCCTGAATGTTGGAAGGATGATATCCGACCTAGTCCAGTCCCTTTGCTTTTTGGATACTTTTGTCTGGAAACCAGATGAAGTACATGGTTATATCATTTTGAAAGAAACCTTAGGATTAACTTTTTTATGAAGTAGACCAATTCCGCAAGTATCTATCTGTTTATGTTATAAATCTCCTTTGAAGTATGAACTATATAGTTATATTATGTGTATGAATCTACATTTTTCTTTCAAGTTACTAGTGTTGATCTCTTATATGTATCTGATACTTTTAGTTTCATAGTACACATGGAAGACCAACATAACTAAACTGCATTATATAATTGGAGGGCAGTGAAACTTTTGGTTGATATACAGAAATACCTGAACAAAGTTCTGAATTGTCTGTAAGAAATGTGCTCCCTCTGCACTTTCCATTTTATCAGCAGTAGAAAAAAATCATCATAACTATTTTGACTAGAGGATATGGTTGTCACAGTTGTAGAGCGATTTGGACTTTATATTGTTTTAGGTCCAATTATCAAATACCAAGTTGCTTTAATATGTATAGTCCTCTATTACACACAAAAAAAACCCAAAAAATAAAATATTATGTCTAGCTTTAGGCCCAATTATCAAATACCAAGTTGCTTTGATGTGTATTGTCTTTTATTACAAAAAAAAAAAAAATCAAAAAAAATCAAATACCAAGTTTGGATGTTCAAAATGGGTAGTAGAAAAGTTACCATTACTGTGGAAAAAAAGGTAGCACTAAAAGAGTGGTTGAGTGGTAGTAAGAAAAAAAGGGGTAGCAGTAAACTCCTCTTGATTCTACTTTTGTTTTTTTGGTAATTATTTCATTTGTAATTCCTTTTGTCATCTCTATTTGTATCAAATACTATAAACAAAAAGGATATAGCCAATTGTAGTAATAATTTATTTTAATTTTAAAACATAATAAACAAAAAGGATATAGCCAATTGTAGTAATAAATTTTTTTATTTTAAAACATAATATTAACATATTGTCAACTAACAACTGACAACATCATACAAATGCACAAATAATGGTTGCAATCACACCAATACTAATACACTGGATCTGTAGATGGATGACTGATTACCTAGTTCTCGTGTTGTAACCCTCCAATCAAAAGAGGAAAAGAATGCACAAATAGTGGGATGAAAACTTTAATAATTGTGAGACTTAAAATCAAGATCTCTTACTCTTGGCACCTCAAATTTTGTAAATTAGCATCAGATTAAGGCCTAACTGGAAGCTTATACAGAAATTAGCTTTAGATACATATATAGTCTATTCATTTGAATAGTGTATAATTTTGACAAATTCACAATGAAATTGTACTATATTTTAAAATGTTATAAAATATGTTTCTTACACTCACTCATCATAGTGAAGGAATAACTCATAATTGCCTCCTTGTAAAGCAAAAAGATAATTTTAATGAACGAAAAAGAAATAAATTTCAATAATTTGGTGAAGGTAAATATATTATTCGGTGTAGAATCTTCTAAGTAACGAATAACAAAAGCAAGCTGAAAACATCAAATTGTAAGTCTAATTGCATATAAAATGAAACTGAAGTGCAAAAAAAAAAAAAAAAAAAAAAAATAGCATCAAAACTTCGAAACAAGCTCAACAAGTAAAAATATATTTTTTGCACTTTTTCCGTGAAAGATATTTTCTTAGTGTTTAATCCTATTGTATTATCTCCTTCTAGAATTTCAATACAAAATTTCTTTAGCTTTTCTTCAATCACCTATTCCAAAATTCTATACTTCCTATACCCAAAAAAAAAAACCCACAATTATATTCCTCACTATGTCTTGCATTATTGCAAAAGCACTGTAGTTTTCACTTAACAATAGACTAACTAATTTATTAATTTTGATATACATGCTTACAGGTTTACAACAATAGGAAAACTAAGCCTAATTTCCAACTTTGCAAATTCGTGAAGATTACCGTTAAGTAAACTTATAATTTAAAATTTTGATTAATCAGATTACTACCTCGAAAAAAAAATTATGTGTACCATGTGTTCCACGTGACAATATGCGAGTATCAATCAAAATAAAGTATTGTGGTGCCAATTACAAATTATGGTGATCGGTACTGATACATCAATTACCAATTATGGTGCTTGATACTAATACACCAAGGGCTGCGCGTAATTCATCCAATATCTTCTCTTACTATTATTATCCATTTATCCTTTAATTCTATATTTTATTTGCCATTGTGTCATTTAATTTTTTTCCGTTTCCCTTTTTTTTCTATTATCCGTTTGCATTTGAAAGATGAGAACCATTGCTGAAGTTGATAACTTTGGCAATAAAATAGTAATAGACTATATTAAATTTAATCTTAGTACTAATACTTACTATAAACCCACCACTACCCTTCTCGGACTTGGCCTTAGGTGACCATTTTGCAGAGTGGAAGTTTCAGTTTCCCCGAAACTTTCCACTATCTTCTGTAAACATTAGGAAGCCACCTTCTGCAATCCTCGATTTGTACTGTAATCTTCTCAATCCTTTCTTCCGATTTTTTTCCAACAAAAGGTCAGCTTTTTTGTAAAGTCCCATCTAATTTTTTCCCATCAGATTTGTACTGTAATCTTGTCTTTGGTTGATGATTGAATGCATAGTAGTGTCAATGTGATGTGGACAATGGATCCACTGTGGTCTTTGAACCCGAAGTTCTAAAGGCTTTTCAGAAGCCTCGTGATTGGAGTTGGATGTAGTATAATAGATGTAAATGTAGGAATTTGAGGATGGATTTACACATGTAGGACTTTGCAGAAGTTCAACTAAGGGATGCCATATTTTAGATGCATGCCATTCATTTTTTGATGATCATACTAAACAAAAAACGTATAGAAAATAATCAACACGTTATACTATTTCCTTCTTTCACATGCAGGCCAAATCCTTTACATGAATTTCTTTGTGAGCTTGATTTGTAGCGTTTATTTTTAGTGTTGGAATTATTAGGCAGATTCCGATTTGTGTACCTTTCCTGGACTGTTTTATGGTTTGTGTATTTAGGTGGTTTATTAATTGATTCTGCATATAAACTATTTTTGTTCAGCCTTTGGTTTTGGAGGGATCTTATAGAAAAGTTTTATTCATTGCGATAAGGACGAAGTGTTTCTTATCGAATAATATGCAGGCCGAGGAGACGAGTCAAGAAAATGAATATCCCTCTCTCTCTGAAATGGTAAACGTGTTCGAGATATTGTATGGGTACTAGACAACATAATGTAAGAGCTACTTTGTCAATTCATTATTACTTCTGTGAGAGCTGAATGCTCAACAGGATCCTCGTTTCAATACATGTAAATCTTCAAAGCGTTTGCTAAAAACAAGTCTAAGAGCCTTGTTTTAACAGATAATCCTCAAGCCGTTTTATAAAAGCAAGTATTGCTTTTGCAGTTTCCTCTGGCATGCTAGTTTCTTCTGCTTCAGTTTCGTATAGAACCTTAACATCCACACCAGTCTCTGATTCTCCAACTGCATTAAATTGTATAACAGTTGTGTAAGAAGTGAATCCATGATTCAGGTGTCCCCTTCGATCACTTGCATCCCAATCTGATGCAGGGACTCGTTGAATACTGTAACTTTCTCCTTCTGGTATCCGAGACTTGATTTCTCTGAAAGCATTAGTTTAAAATTGCAGCGTCAAGATGGTCAGATGGTAGGCTAAAAACTAATTAGTACTGTATGAATGAAAAAAAAATAGCACAGGGCAGGAAATACTGGTTGAAATGTCCAACTGAAGTTGGAAGCTGGAACTCACCAGAGCCAAGGTCGATCAGATAAACAGTACCAAGGCCACCATCTCCTTCAATAACTTCAACACTACGCACTAAATTGGGAGGCAAGTTTTGGAAGGATAAAGCTTATTTCTTTTGCATAATTCCTCCATAGCACTTCAATTGCGACCCCAACCTTCATTTGGCTCTTTACTTCCTTCATCATTGCTCCTCTTTAGTTGAGTACAGTTAAAATTGATCGTTGGTATACAATAAGTACAAATTTATACTATTTAGCTTGGAGGGACAAAATGACACTACGGCATCTGTAGTTGTATGGACAAATATGGAAACAAGATGCCTAGGCTCCACTCTGATGTACATATATGTATTTATTGTGAATGATTCTAAAATGTACATACATTATGTATATTCATTCCTGAATATATTCATGCATGTGGAAATCCTTGAATGTAAGGATAGATTCATGTCTTTGATTTTAAGATCATGAGATGCATGAATTAAAGTGCATGAATTTGTACATAATACCATGAATCTATTCATACAAGTATTTAATAAGTCTTTTGTTTTTTAAACAATTTATCCTATATAAAGAGGTCAAGTAAAGAGTGATTTGTTGTAGAAAATCACTTTCCTACTATTTCGAATTTTCTCAAAAAACACTCCTTAGTTCAAGAAGGTTTGTCTTACTTTGTGATAGATTGCAATTTTGTCATTTATTTTACAATTAATTCCCTCTATGATCTTACCAAATGTGCATTATTGGGCAGATTTTATTCACTTTGAGAATTTGTGTTGATTGCAGGGATTTGGAGTCAAATATGGCAAAAAGGCACAATTTCCTTGCTATGCTTGCTAATTGAACTGGGACATCCAAAGCTGCAGAGTGAGATTAATTCCTGTGGCAATTAGTGGAGGAATTTAAGTAGCAGTAGGAAATAGGAGCCTAATCTTGATTTTGTTTCCTTATTTGTTAGGCGGGGTGCGGCAGAAGAGGAATCCTATTAGGACTCCTCTTAACTTATTTTGCTAGATAGTTTCTCGGTGGAAAAAGGAGATTAGGCAGACTAGGAGCCATTTTCTTGGGATCCTCCTTTTTCTTTTGTTGTGTAGTATTAAAATAGGGAAATCAATTAAGACTAGGAGACTAGCTTTTGGGTCTTGGACCAATTCCTATCTAGGAATTCTTTTCTTCGTATGTCAGGGAGAGAAGAGAAACAATTAGTTATCTTTTGACTTTGTAATTTGGGACATTATCTTGATTCCATCAAATTGAATCCTCTCAAGGGAGACAATGGATGTGACAATTTTCTCTACAATTTTGCATGAGTTCTCCTCAACGAGGATGAACTAAATCCCTTTTTCTAGTCAAAGAACAACAGAGGATTTGGTTCAACTTAAATTGTGAGATCTAATCGATTTTAATTTTCCTATTATCTTCTGGTATTTGTATATT